ATAACAAGCCCCTTTCAAACATACCTGAGTTTATGCTAATAAGGTGACTTTGATCAGCCTCTAAATAGCTTCAGGTTGGGGGCTGCTTGCCAGGGGAATCAAACATGATTACAGGGTTGGAAACTTCAAGCCTTCCCCCATGACCCAGGGCCAAAGATCTAATCATCATGCCTATATAATGCAGACTATATAAAAGTGCTAAAAAGGAGGTTCAGAAGGCTTCTGCTTTGATGAATGCATCCATGTGCCAGGAGGGTGGCACACCCCATATTCCATGGGGACAGAGCTCCTATGCTTGGGAACTTTTCAGACCTGGCCTATATACCTCTTCATCTGGCTGTTCATTGGTATCCTTTATAATATTCAGTATAATAAACCAGAAATAATAATAAAGTGTTTCCGTGGGTACTGTGAGACATTATAGCAAATTATCAAACCTGGGGAAAGGGGTCTCATGGGAACCCTCAATTTGTAGCCAACTTGAAGGGAAGTGTGAGTAACTTAGAATTGTAATTGGCATTTGAAGTACAGGCTGTCTTTTGATACTCATCCCTTAATCTGTGGGGTCTGAGCTAATTCTGGATAATTAGTGTCAAATTTGAATTAAATTGTAGTTCATCCAGTCGGTGTCTACAGAGAATTGGAGAATTGCTTGGTGTGGAAAAGCCACACATTCGGTGTCAGAAATGTTGTGAGTTGGGTCCCTGGGTGGCTCAGACGGTTGCGCATCTGCCTTCGGCTTGAGTCATGATCCCAGGATCCTGGGATTGAGTCTTGCATCGGGCTCCCAGCTCCACAGGGAGTCTGCTTCTCCTTCTGCCCCTCCGCCCACTCGTTCTCTCAATCTCTCTCTCTCATTCTCTCTCTCAGATGAATGAATGAAATCTTTAAAAAAAATGTTATGAGTAGAAAAAAATGTTATGAGTAGAGAATCAGATATCATTTAGTGAGTAATACAAATAAAAATAGTCCAGCTTGGAAAGGAAGAAATGAAACTGTCTTCATTCACATATGTCATGATCATCTATGTAGTAAATCTGACAGAATCTTCAAAAAACTATTAGAACCACTAACTACATTTATCTAGTTTGCCAAATATATAAGTTCAACATGTAAGACCCAACTGAATTTTTATATAATACCAAGGAACAATTAGAAATTGAAATTTAAAAAGTAATACCATTTGCAATAGCATCAAAGAGTACAAAATATAGTATTTAGGGATAAGCCTGACCAAGATGTGTAAAAGCTATACACAAAAAAGTACAAAACATTGCAGAGAGAAATGGAAAAAGGCCGGAATAAATAGGAGATCTACTATGCTCATGGACTAGAAAAATCGTTGTTGCTAAGATGTCAGTTCTCCTCAAACTGATACATACTTCAACATAATCTAGTCACAATCCAAAAAGGCTTTTTTGCAGAAATTGATAAACTAAGTGTAAAATTCATATGGAAATGAAAAGTACCTGGTATAGCCAAAACAACTTTGAAAAAGAACGAAGTCAGAGAGCTAAAACTACCTGATTTCAAGACTTAGAAAGCCAAAAGACAGTGTGATATTGGCATAACAATAGACAAATAGCTCAATAGAACAGTACAGAGAGTTCACAAATAGGCCCATACAAAATGATATTCCAGAAAGACAAAAGGTAATTTAGTGGTGCTGGAATATGAACATGAATATCTGTATGTAAAAAATAGAAAAGAACTTCAGTCTATATCTCACACCATATACAAAAATTCCATCAAAATGGATTATAGACCTAAATGTATAACCTAAACTATAAAACTTCTAGAATAAAACACTATAAGACTTTGGGATATAAAAAAAATTTCTTAGATGCAACACCAAAACTATAGTCCATAAAAGAAAAATGTCAATAAATTATTCATCAAAATAAAAAAATGTCCTCCCTTTAAAACAGAACAACCAAAAACAAAAACATCTCTTCAAAAGACAGCGAACACTGTAAAGAGAATGAAAGAACTTGTATTCAGAATATACAAAGAATTCTCAATAAAGAAACAAATTACCCAGTTTTTCTAAATGATAAAACATTTTAGCACTTACCAAAGAAAATATATGAGTGATAAGTAAGTATATGATCAGGCAGTCATCATTAGTCATTAGGGAGATATACATTAAAACCACAATGAGAGATAATTAACACGTAACACTGTATGTCAACTATATTTCACTGTGAATTGTGTAAGACTGTTGAATCACAGATCTGTGCCTCTGAAACAAATAGTACATTATATGTTAAAAAAAAAAAAAAAGAAGAAGAAGATAGCAGGAGGGGAAGAATGAAGGGGAGTAAGTCGGAGGGGGAGACGAACCATGAGAGACTATGGACTCTGAAAAACAAACTGAGGGTTCTAGAGGGGAGGGGGGTGGGGGATGGGTTAGCCCGGTGATGGGTATTAAAGAGGGCACATTCTGCATGGAGCACTGGGTGTTATACGCAAACAATGAATCATGGAACACCACATCAAAAACTAATGATGTAATGTATGGTGATTAACATAATGTAATAATAAAAAAGTAAAAATAAAATTGTGGATTCTGCCAAAAAATAATAATAAATTTTTTAAAAACCATAAGAGAAAATACACATATACTATAATGTCTAAAATTAAAAAGACTGACCGTACTATGTATTGATAAAAATGCAGAAGCATAGGAAATCTCAAACATTGGTGGGGGGAATATAAAATAGAATGACCACTTAGAAAAAACACTTTAGCAATTTCTTTAAAAGTCAAACAACTACATACGTATGATACAGATACAGCCTTCACAGGTTTCTACCCAGAAAAATAGAAGCACATGTCCACAAAAATACTTGCACAAGAATGTTTGCAGCTTTATCTGTAATGGCATAAAACTGGAAACAACCCAAATGTCTATCAACAGGTAAATGGATCAACAAACTGTGGTATATTATACAATGAAATACTATTAAGCAATAAAAATAATGAGCTATTAATGTGTGAACTTATCTCAAGTAATTACACTCAGTGAAAGAAACTGGGACTCCCCACCACAAAAAAAAGGGAGTACATATTGTGTAGTCACATTTATATAAAAATCTAGAAAATGCAAACTGAGGTATAGTTACAGAAAGCAGGTCAGTGGTTGCCTGGGGGTGGAGGGAGAGCAAGAGTTTTAGGCTAGGATTATAAAGAAGAATAAGAAAATGTGGGGGTGATGGGTAAGTTCATTATCTTGATTGTGTTCATGGTTCACAAATATAAAACTATGTCAAAATTTAGTAAATTATTCCCTTGAAATATGTGCAAAATTTAACAAATTGTTATATCAGTTATACTACAATAACCCTTTTTAGGTGTTCTGAAATAAAGCATAAACACTAATACACGTATATTACAAGGGATATCTTTTAAACTACTACTAAGAAAATGAAAGAAAAGAGTAAAAATATTAGCCAATCTAGCAAAGCAGAGTAAAGAAAAAAGTAAACACAGGGCATGGAGAGTAAACACAGTAAACATGACATAAAAATTAATATTATAAAAATATGACCAAATATGTAAATAACCATAACAAATGTGGATGGTTTAAATTCTCCTATTAAAAGTTAAATTTCTCAAAGAGTTAATAAAAATCAGCTAAATCTTGTCTATTAAAAAGCTGTAGCTTCTCTGTAAAAGGTATACCTAAAATAAAATGTCACAGAGAATTGAAGACAGATGATGACATATCAGGCAAATACTAATCAGTGGAAGGATGGACTGGGCAGCCAAGGAGGTAAAGGGTTCAGATTTCCCATCAGTAGAGAACTTATCATTCACATGCAAGGAGTGCAGTCAGCTGATGGCCTCCAGTTGCTAAGGCTTTCAGGATCCATTTCAGCTTTTGAGTTGAGGCCATACTCTTTCCAGCCAATGACTAAGCATGAAGGGGTTTTAGGGTTTTGCCACCTCTGCTCATGAAAGATTCTTCTTAGAAACAATCTTTGCTCCTGGGTTTCTCACTGGTTTGGCCAAGACTTTGACAGTTCTATATCTGGATCTGAGGCTCTTGTATCCTGCTTCCTCCCCTTTCCTTTCACAGGTTTCATTCAGATCAGTGTCATGGTCTGAAGGCTTTCCCTCCCCTCCCCTACTTCCTGCCCCTTTAATCTTTCACACATATAACCCCTCTCTCCCAAATAATCTTTACTGCTCCTAACTCCATCTCAACCTCTGCTTCCTGGAGGACCTAACTTACACACCTGTTTCAGTTCCTAGATTTTTCTGATTCAGCAGATCTAAAGTGGATTTGAGTAATCTATATAATTTTTTATTTCCCAACATGATTCTCATTTTTCACCACATTTAGCACCCCTGTAGGGGAAAATTTTAATGCATTTGTTTCCTATGCAACATAATTTAACATTTAAAAACCATTTTGAAGTCTTTAAAGTGTCATTTATATGGCTGTTTGAGATATATTATCAAGTTAAGATGTAAACACAATTTTGCTTTTTTTGTTTTTCAGTAATAGTTAAACAGATAGTTTTGAACCCAGTTAACTGTGAGCCTCATCCCACCCAGGGATGGATGAAGAATTAAGAAAAGGTCGAGGACAGGGTTTGATATCTATTGTTGTGCACTGCTTGGTAATATTTATATGGGGAAGTTTAATGTTTTGGGGGCTTAGCCAAGTGGTGTCAAATTGGTTTGGTCAAAATCATGTGCTAAATGTGATTAGATTAGTTTACCTCCAAAAGAAACTAAGAATCTTTTTAATGATAAACCCTAGTGTAGGCAAAAATGTCTGGAGAGGGGAAAACAGTGACAAAAGAACTGTCTTAATTGTTTCACATGGCAAAATGGATGAATGAATGGATTTTGTTTTAATTTCTACCATGATGAAAATTTTTAATATTTTTCCTGCTATGGAGAAACAGACTTACTTTTTCATAAATTTTTATAAATAAAATATATTTTTCATAAGATTAAAAGCAATTAATGTATACATTCTTAATACTATATTCCACAGAAAAATTGAGGGCAAGGGTCATGTCATCCTTCGGCCATTCTCTCAGCACAGAGACCATATTTTATGGATAACCAAGTTCTTCATAATGCTTATTTAGCTGCTTATATACTCGATGAACATCTGTTATTTGCTAAATACCTCACAATAAAATGTACATCATAAAAATACACAATTTCAGTTTATCATATCTGCAAAACTATTAGGCACTAGCTATCAATCTCTATTGAGATATGAGTTCAGAAAGTAATTCCTCACATGTGTTCCCTCTCTCTTATTCCTGCTTTCTCATCAACATGACAGGAAAACATAAATCCAGTTTTGCCAAATAGTGTAATTTTTATTATAATCTTACATCACATTAGTTAACTGGTTGATTAAAAACAAGAAGTAGGAATCTTGCAGATATTAAAATAACAGTATATGGAAAGGCACATTCAAACATGGTTGAAGGGAATGTAAATTGATACAATTTGATAATCAATAAAAAAAATGCACAAACCCTTTTGACCTGAAATTCCACTCAGGGAAATTATTCTATAAATATACTTAAACAAATATAAAGAGATCTATCCACAAGAAACATTTTATGTGGTATTGTTTATAATACCAAAACAAACAAATAAAACTTAAAGCAATCTAAATGTCTACCACTAGGACTGTAGTTAATTAAATTAGGACATAACCATACAATGGAATTTTATAACCATTAAAAAGAATGAGGTAGCTCTGCTTGTATTGATATAAAAGATCTCCAAGACCTATCATATTATTAGCTTTCTATAAGTGCAGAAGAGCATCATGATATGTTCCCATTTGTGTATTGACAAGGATATGTGTATATATATGTAAATAGTCTTATGAATGTATATCCATACCTTGGTGTACAGATATATATACATAAAATTTTCTGGAAGAATACATAAAATATGTTGATTGTTCCTTCTGCAGAGTTCTTTCTTGAAGAAATTCAGTTTTCATTATCTACTATACTAAACAATTTGAATATTTTATCATAGCATTTGCTTTCTTTGTAACAATATCAGTTCTTCAGAGAACTAGCTAATAGCAGCTAACATTCTAAAATTTTCATATATAAGGATATGTATGAAAACCTTTTAAAAATCTCTATCTTCTCAGAATCCTTGAAAAGTTAATTCCAAAATAGGTTTTCCATACTAGGACTCTAAGAAAATCAAAAGAGTAGCCCTGCTGTATCTTTATTCATTTGTTCTGTTGCTAGATTCCAATAACTTATGAAGCATGGAGACACAACCCATCAACTTCACTTTGTAAAACCTGAAACCTCTTCACTTGCTCACAGTGTCATAGAGTGGATTGTTCTTCTCTGTGTAGCTGGCGTAAGGCTGCATTTCCTCCTAAGAAAGAACTCAAAGTCAAAATCAATTCAAAAAATCCGGAAGTCATCAACCACCTATGTTTTTCTCACAGGTGCCCCCAGATTTAGTATCTACAAGAGTGCTTATATTTGTGTCTCTGGGCTTACATGGGCATAAGAGAAAGACTGTTTTCTATTATTTTGTCAAAAAAATTATTGATTATTTTTCAGTGTGAGATGATAATGTTGCGTGACAGTAGGAATGGAGAAGAATGAAGTAACATGAGAGGTATTTCAAAGGACAGGGTCAAAGTCTTGGTAAGCTACTGGTTATGAGATTATGGAGCAGAAGAGGATTTAAGAGCAAGTAAGAGGGAAATGATGTGGAGAAAGGGAAGTCAAGAACCGGAGATGGTTTCATGGGGGAGGAAAGACCAATTCAGTTTCTCCAAATATTATAGTCCAAATTTGGCAAACATGTGTTTTGTAAGATACAGTTCTTGAAATGAAAATATTGCTTGGAATGTGTATAAATAGTATAAGCAGATAATTAACAAAACAAGTACACCTGAGTACTAGCATTTATGAAATTAGAATCTTTGCTTTTTAATTAAAATACTAATACTGAGGCAAATTACAAATTGCACTGCTATATCATCACTTTGAGACTTGAAAGTTTGCAAATATTCTTTTTAATGTTATCTCTTACCTCCTCAACAACTGAAGGAGCTTCCATTTTTTTTAATTTGCATTTTCTGCAAAAATAAAAATAAGCTGGAGTGAATGTAGAAAACATCATTATTTAATGAAAAATGGGAAAACAAAAGTGTGGTTCATTTTTGATAGAAGCCATAATAAAATAGAAAGGAATTACCAGAAATAAGAATGTTACTTGTAGTTAATACACCTAAATGACATAATTCTGGATATGGGGAGAGGAGTGAAATTATGCAACAGAAGCATGATATATGGAATAAATGTGACACATCCTTATTGGTACATAAAATGAATTATTGTAATTCTTTTCTCAAATACAGATTAGCATACAATGTCTCTACCAGGATCTTGCCCTAAATGGCCTATGTCACTATGCTCGCATGCCTAAGTAACCAAGCAAAAATCCCTCTTGTCATTTAGTCCAAATCTAACACCTTTAGGACACACTTCTTGATTATGGGAGAGTTGATGTTAACATATTAATTTTAGCCCATCAATTCCATATATCTGACCCCTTCTAGCCCAATTAAACTAAGAAAAAGCATCACTCAATACCTGCAGCAATCGATTTTCAAAATGGATCCCACAATGAATCCCACAATGACCAAGGTAATCAAAATAGAGGAGGTGATAGATAAAATAGTTAATTTCAGTGGTGATTGGTCACCTGTAAATATAGACACAAAAATATATGGTTTAACTGTGGTGCATCCAGATAATGGAATATTATTTAGCACTAAAAAGAAGTGAGCTTCATGAAAAGACATGGAGGAAATTTAAATGCATATTACTCAGTGAAAGAAGCCAATCTGACACTGCTACATTCTGTATGATTCCAATTATATAGACATTCTGGAAAAGGCAAAACTATGGAGACAGTGTAAAGATCAGGGGTTGCTAGAGGTTAGGGTAGAGGGAAGAATGAGTAACTGGAGCATAGATTTTCACCTTTAGATAGTGAAACTACTCCATGGGAAACTACAATGGTGGATATATGCTACTTCTACATTTGCTAAAACTCATAGAATGTACACCTAGAGTGAACCATAATGTAAACTACAAACTTCGAGTGATAATGTTGTGTTAATATAGGTTCATCAGTTCTCACAAATATAGCAGTATGGCATGGGTGATGTAGAGAGAGGAGGAGACCGTGCATGTGTTGGGGCAGGGGTAATATGGGAACTCTCTGCACTTTCCACTCAATTTTGCTGTGAACCTAAAACTGCTCTAAAAACTAAAGTCTATTAAATACATATATAACTGTAAAATAAAATATATGTTCAAGGATGTCTCAGAGTTCATGAAGTTCACTTCTGTGATTTTATTTTAAACAGTTTTTACTCATTAATAGTTCAAATCATTGTTACAATAAAATTGCTTTATTAATTCTGATTCTAGGGTGTTTAGCAAGACATCATCCTAAGTCAAGGTTTTGTGGCTTTAAGAATTCATGAATGGTGAATTCCTATAAGAGATATGTACAGACTAAATTTCTCAGTTACAGTAATATCAGGGTGTTTCTCATCTCCAATATTCAGAAATAAATGGGGAGTTGCAAAGGAGGTAATTGGAAAAACAACCGAATCCTGAAGTCACCTTTCTTCCAGGTCCTTGAAACTGACATGAATGCATGGCAGCAACTTTCAATTATTTATTAACTCTGGCAGCAGTATTAAGCTCAGTCTGACAAGAGAAGTCAACAAAGGAATTGCCAGCTCTGGGAATCAATGGTTCTAAGACTTTGCTCCTGCTGTACCCTGAATTGGGCTGAGGGCAACAGATGGAGGCAAGTGGAAGCTAAGCACTCTGGTGTCTTCTCCTTCCACATTCCTTCAACAGTTTGTTTTTAAACATTGCATTTCTGTGTCTTTTATTTGAAAAAGAAAAAATTGTTTTACAGTTAAAATCAACAACATTGTCTTGAAATCCCCTCTTTCAAACTAATGCACTTTCTTTCATTGGAAGTGTAGCCACAGAGGCTGAGGATCTGCCCTGCAAGGAGACAGAAAGGAGACCCCAGCACTGGCTGAGAGTGAATGAGACAGTCCCTTCAAGTCTGAGCATCCATAAACATGACATCATATTGTAATACTGGGTAGTCAGATTGCATACACGAGCGGAGCACAATTACTCTCCTCAGTGTATAATACTAAAATCTTTTTTTTTTTTTAATCAGCTTAACAATGGAAATTGGAAAATGTTGGTTTAAAGACATGGATTTTTCTCCTCCCTCTTCTTAAACTTCACTAAATTATCAGTAGGAAAATTTTCTAAGTATTGACTTTTTAAATATAGACAACGAACATGGATGAAGATAAGCAGATGAAAAATTTCAACTTGTTCTTAGGTGAAAAATGTACAGAAGAAGGCAAATAATTTACAGTAGAATAAGTAAGAATCTTAGTGTCCATAGAACACCAAGAAGACTCTAGAGTAGGAAAGGCCAAATATATAAAAAGGGGCAAGTCGGGGGGGGTGAGGTGTAATTTAAAAGTTGGAAGCCTTTTTAAAGGTCTGTATTAAGAAGAGGTAGGCTGCCAAGTCCACTCCCACCCTGTGCAGCCAGGTCACTTCACCTTCCTCAAACAGTAGGAAACAGGAAGTTTGACCAGAAATGGTGAACTGGAAAGATTCCAGAGTCAAGGATCCAGAATAATGGAGGGTGGAGAGGAAGTACCAGACTGAAGAGAGGTATTAAAGAAAAGTCTGTGTTCTGAACAGTCTCCCTCTCTCTCTCCCTCCCTCTCTCTCTCTCTCTCTCTCTCTCTCTCTCACACACACACACACACACACACACACTCCTCTTCTTCCCTGCTCTCATAACACTAATAGTCAAGGTTATCCCTCTAAGACAATAGACCGGAGAGTTATTTTCTGCAGAACCTGAAAAGCCTCAGAGAAAAGAATTTCAGATAACTAAAGAATCTGTATCTAAAAAATTGTTTTTTCATTTACTTCCTTTCAGCCTATTGAAGCTAACTAGTTGACAGGACCACCCACAGATAACATAGCTTCCAATCAGTTCATTTTTGAAACCTCACTTTGAAATGAATGGATAACCAAGGATTACCAGAGAGTAAAGGAAAGCTTCATGCATAAAACAAAGAGATTAAAACTAGTAAATGTCTGGAAGGCAGAAGGAACTCAGATTAAACAGACATGGAATCAAGCAGAGCACTGTGGGAAAGAATGCCCAGGACAGTCGTTATACAGCAGGTCTCGTGCCTACCCAGGCCAGATTAGGACAGAGTATTTAAAAGTCAAGAAGGGATGTCTTCAAGAAAAAAAAAAAATAGAACTGATGGATTACCCAATAAATTTGACCATGTAGAAAGTAGGATTAATAGGGGTTTTCTAATTTTGTCACTGAGCTTAATGATAATTAACAACAAGTACATATATATTTTTAAGATTTTATTTATTTATTTGAAAGAGAGAGTGAGAGAGAGCACGAGAGGGAAGAGGGTCAGAGGGAGAGCAGACTCCCCGCTGAGCAGGGAGCCCGATGGGGGACTCGATCCCGGGACTCCAGGATCATGACCTGATCTGAGGCAGTCCCTTAACCAAATGAGCCACCAACACCCCATAAGTACATATATTTTTAAGGAAACTAAAGAGTAAAGTTTAAATCAATCATAGAGGCTACTATATCTAAGAAATTATAGGAAGAAAATCCCACCAAACTAAAAATCTGTGAAGAAAATTTATAAGTGACTTGATCCTTCTTCTAAAAGCACAAAGATTTCTTTAAAAATACAATTTAGTCTTCTCCTAAAACCAGATGTATTAATTTAAAAGTACACTACTCACGCCAACTTACTACTTGTATAGAGTGGACATTAAATTATTAAATTATTTTTCATTTTATTTTATTAAATAATAAACTTCGCTCTAATATATGGCTTTAAGGAGGAGAAGGACATAAAAAAGAGGGTGGGGAGATTATGCTTGAGAGAAATTCTCTGCACACTCCTGTTTCATTCTTCTGTAACTTCTCTGAAAGAATGAACATATCAAGCAAAAACCGGAATTACTAACCTGGATTCAGCTCTAAGGACAGAGTCTTGTTGCCGGTCACGTGGGAGACAGAGCAGGACACGTTAGACACCTGGCGGTCCTCCCAGCGGCATGTACTCAGGACGGTCACTGTGCCATTGCCCAACTGTTGTTCCGCAGTGTGACAGTCTCCCCCTGGGGTCCAGGAGATCTGTGCAGCTGGCTTCCCTGCAGCTGCCCTGCACACGAGGGTTCCATTGCTGCCTCGAAACAGGGTCACCTCGGGGGGGCACTGCAAAGATGCAGGGGAAGTGCTTCAGGCTTAACACGTGGGGTATGGAATAGAGAGAGATTTGGTTCAGTCCCAGATCTGCTTCTCTGACGTACCCCAATATGTCATGCACCTTACCTAACACTTGGAGGTGATATCCAAGACCGAAATTCCCATCAGGTGCGGCCACTTCACACCTGTAATATCCATCATGAGTGGTGGCCACGGGATCAATCTGAAGGGCAGGATTCTGATCGGGTCTGGACTCCCAGGATATTCTCTCGTCGGTACAGTTTCTTTCACTGGTCTCATTGTTATCTCTCCTGTAGGCTCTGATGCAGGAAGGCTTGTCTCGGAGGTTTATTTCCCACCTTATTATCAGCACATTTGTTAAGCTGACAGAAGGGCAAGTGAGCACAGCCTTTGTCGCCACAGGTGCAGACCGAGAAGTGTTAGCTGGACACACACACAAGGAGGAAGAAAAGAAAAGCTTGATAAAAAACTTCAGGTGTTCAATTTTCCACAACATATCACATAAAGTAGTACTAGAACATGACTTTGCTGGTGATCCTATCCCAAAATATTAGGCCTACATAAAAAATTAAATATGAACCAAAATATATAACACATTAAACCTAATCCAAAGATGAAAGCATTTTCTCATGTTCTGTGTTATTAGATAAACTATATTTATTATATATATATGAGAAATATTTTAAGGGTCTAAAATCACTTCAGAAGTTCTGTATAAAACAAACAAGAAAACACAATTTAAATTAAAGGACAACGTCATCTAAATCTAATCTTTTGGTAGCAGAAATTATTAGATTTATCTTATAACTGGTTCTCCTCAGGACAGAAAGTGGAAAAATTGATGATGTGGTTTTCTCCTCCTAAGTTTTGGTCAGAGAGACTAAATCAGTACTATCAGAATGAAATGCCTATCCCGAAGGGTGCCACTTCGGACAAACATAAATAAAAAGCATAAGATGGCATTCAGGTTGAACAAACTGGACTTTTTTAAGCTACTTTTTATTTGGAGAATCACAAAGTCAGTAAAAGCAACAGATTTTCCTTCCTTCCTATTGAGTCACACATATACTGCCAAACAGTCCCACTATGAATTTGCTCACAGATGTTGGTTCTAGACATTCTACCTAATTATGAGGATTAAATGAAGAAGTTCACTGCTTTTGCCCATTTAGTGTAAAAATTACGCCCTGCAACCTATGATTTTTCTCCAATCTAGAAGCTTCAGCTCTCCCATAAATACACATAATGCATCCATGACTGGGAGGGCTTTGCTGAGAGAGGATTAGGGGCATCAGGTACCACGTACTGTAACGCAGACGTGTGGCAGGGAGCTCATCACTTTAACGTGAGCAGAACCAGCTGTGACGGGCTAAGCTGTTATGTGGGTGAACCTCGTTGTGCGAAACTCTGTATGTGAGATCTCTCCTCTCCTCTTTTGGTGTCACTTGCCTCCTCTGTGATGGACTCAAGATCTTGCATTTCACAGCCAAATCAAGATCCCATAACTGCAGGAAGCAAGTGGGGGTGGATTTTAGAGCAGATCTGAGGGGCAGTTAAATCCATGCTCCTCCTACCACTGCAGGTGGCTCCCCACCCTAGGCAACTTGGCCAAGGCTCAGAGGCCAGCAGCAACACAGCTGCTTGGAGAACAGCTAGGGGTGGGTGTGGGTGAGCACACATGTGCCCAAGGCCAGGATGCTGAAGATGACCGCAGAAAGAGAAGAGGCTGGTGAGGAACATGTTGTGAGTGTTCTGTTTGTACTTCAGCTTGTGAACAGTCTAAGGCTTTAATATTTTGCCTGATACTTATTCTCAAGATCTGACTCTATTATTTTAAAGGAACCTACGAGCTGATCAATTAAACATATGCATTTTAACAAGGGCACAGTCTCCAGTGAAGTAGCTCCATCAGTGAGGATCCCAAGCACCATGGGTAGTCTCTGTTCTTTCAGCTTGCTCTGCTCTATGACCCTCCAGCAATCCCCCTTCACCTGCAGTGTCTATGACTCCCCCCGAGCCTCTGCAGCCTTCTGCACACAAATCCCTTTTCCTTTCTGTTCTCACTGCCTTACCCTAGTTTAAGACCCTATCACGACACACCTGGACCACTACAGAAGCCTCCTCCCATCTGTCTCTCTGTCAAAATTCTCCTCTCCTCACCTCATACCTTACCTTGCAGCCAGGTACATGATTCTGTAACACAGGGGTGAGCCTCTCCACTCCGACACCCTTCAGAGATCTCTCACTGCCTGAAGACAACACTTACATGTCTTTGTACTGGCTTTGAAAGCCCTCTTTTTCACACTGACTCACCTTGGCAAGCTTATCATCCCTGTGTCGCCCCCACACTTCAAAAAGGAAACAGCAAGCCCAAGTGCCTATCTAGGTCTTCCCTCAATGGTTCTTGCAGTCTGGGATGCCTACACAGTACCCTCTGTCTATGAAAACCCTCCTCTTCCTTCAAGAGCCAATTCACATGCTGCATCCTCCTTGAGGCCTTCTCAGGCTTTGGTGCTCTCTCTCCCTCTTCTACATTCCCGGCACACCTGATGTGAGGGCTTATCTCCTCTGTTTTATAGGGTATCTGTGCTTATTTCTGGGTTCCCCCACAAAACTGAACCCCTTTAGGGCGCTTTGGCAGTCTGGCTCACCTTGCTCATCTCTGTGCTCCCCACAAAGCCCGGCACAGTGCCTGATAGAGAGAGCTCCATAATCTTCCCATGGAATTGAACTGCTTTGTGGGAGGAGGACCGGGGTCATTCAGGGTCCCTCACACCACAGCATTCAGATCACCATACTCTTCAACTGGGCTCAAGCCTGGCCCCCTGACCAGACTGTCAACTATGCTTCTAAGGAAGTTCCACACTTCCTCCCTTTAATACTGGCCTCTAGAAAAAATTAAAAACCATATTACCTTCCACAGGAGGTGTGAGCTTGCTCTGCTTTCCTTCCACAGATGACTTATTTGTTGTAGCTAGAAAATATTCAAAGAAAAGTAAAAGAAAGCAATTTTAGGTGCCTAAATGGAGTGCAAGCCACTGTGTATCCACAAATCTTACAGAAACCATGACAGAAAATCAGTTAACTCTAAATAAATTCCACAAAAAGCTTTGCAAAACAGAAATTAGAAGTTACTCCATCAACTCTGAAAAACAAACTGAGGGTTCTAGAGGGGAGGGGGGGAGGGGGATGGGTTATCCTGGTGATGGGTATTGAGGAGGGCACGTTCTGCATGGAGCACTGGGTGTTATGAACAAACAATGAATCATGGAACACTGCACCAAAAACTAATGATGTAATATATGGTGATTAACATAACAATAAAAAAAATTAAAAAAAAAAAGAAGTTACTCCATCAAGTGGAAAAACACGTTAACACTTGAAAATTATGTTAGAAACCCTTAATCAATGATTCCATTTATGGGACACCATGCTGTATACTTGACAACAGTTTTGTACAAGGTAGCCTGACTCCATCACTCTCTTAGTCACAGTGGATTGGTCCATCATGGGTACCTCACATGAGCTAGGCTGTGTATAGTGCTTTCTCCACATGACACCCCCAGATTAAAGTCACTTGATCCATGGGTGCCTGGGTGGCTCAGTTGGTTAAAGTTGCTTGATCCAGTTGTGAGCACCTCACCCAGATGCCAATCAGATTACTTTCTCAAGAATTTTGGAACCAGATTGAGAAGAAGGGTTCATCCCTCTTTTTCCCTCATTTTTCCTACTGCGATGGCTAATTTTATGTGTCACCTTGGTTAGGCCGTGGCTCCTCACTATTTAGTTAAACAGTATCCTAGATGTGTCTGTGAAAGTATTTTTTAGATGAGATTTGCACTTAAATCAGTAGACTTAGAGTAAAACAAAACCCTCCAAAATGTGGGTGGGCCTCATCCAATCAGTTGAAGACCTTGGTAGAAAAACACTGACCTTCTTGAAAAAGGAATTCTGCCAGCACACTGCCTGCAGATTCAAACTACAACTGTTCCTTGGGTCTTCAGGCTGCTGGCCCACTCTGCAGATTTCGGATTCGCCAAGCCTCCACAATCATGTGAACCACTTCTTTAAAATAAATATTTCTCTAGATACGTTGATAGATAGGTAGATAGATAGATGATAGATAGATAGATGATAGATCGATAGATAGATGATAGATAGATTAGATAGATCTCTCATTGTTCCGTTTCTCTTAGGAACCCTGACTAATACATCTACCTTCTGAAGAATGAAGCCGAAACAGAGAGAGAAATGACATTCTTCACCTAACTCAAGTTTCTGTGTGTAATTCCTGAGATCAGCATGTATTCCTTTCCTTGCAATCTGTAGAGTTGCTGACAATCAAATAGTTCTAGTCTACTTCAAACTTGGTTTCTGAGAATTCCCATTTAAGTATTGTTTTTAAAAAAAAAAAAATGAAAAAATAATACTTCTATGATTTAAGAGCCTAATAAAGTTCTTCCTCTGGGTTTATAAGACCACCATTTAATAAGCATTTTATGAGTCCTCTGTTTATGAAAATGTACTTCTTGCTTCCCATTCTAATTATGTACCCAATTCTACCACATTAAAAAATAAACAAAGAAATTCACTAAAGGCCTAAGAAGTAAGCATAGTCAGGCCTCTAAAATAATTAGGCTTTTTTAGGCAACGAAGTTGTATTGGCTTGGAATGGAAAGAAGGCAAAGGATGAAGTTGTGGGGCACCTGGGGGACTCAGTCAGGTAAGCGTCTGCCTTCAGCTCAGGTCATGATCCTGGAGTCCCGGGATCGAGTCCTGCATTGGGCTCCCTGCTCAGTGGAGAGCCTGCTCCTCCCTCTGACCTCTCACTCTGCTCATGCGCTCTCTGTCTCTCAAATAAATGAATAAAATCTTTTTTGAAAAATAAAGTTGTAACGATTAAATTTAGCTCATATTGGGCTCAAGAATCTATTCCAGAAACAGATAAGTCAGAGCTGACCTCAGAGGGCTTACTGAAATCGAGCTATAACTTAGACATTCTAGATTTTAAAAGTTCTATTATAACACAGTCTAACTTAGCCTTTCCAGACCTCTCCCATCCTATCACACCCGGCTTCTTAGAGGTCTAAGGTCTAACAGTTTCTTCCTTTGTCAAATTCACCAACAGCCAAGAATGAGGGTTTATAATGAGAGAAAATTTAGGATGTGGGTAGTCTTGATGATGGTATTGTAGTTTCCATTTGGAAGTGTCACAAGGAAATTTCTAAGTTGTATTAGGAATAAGGGATAGAAGTAAGGTGGGCTGGGGGTACTGGAAGAGAAAAATCAAAAACTGCAAACTTTTTCCATAAAGGGCCAAAGAGTAAACATTTGAAGTTTTGCAGTCCATATGGTCTCCATTGAAAGTATTCAATCCTACGATTGCAGTGAGAAAGCAGCCATATATAATACATAAGTAAATGAGCATGGCTTTTTTCCAATAAAATTTTAATTACAAAAATGAGCTGGCTGGATTTTGCCCATGAGTGATAGTTTACTGACTCTTGATTTAAAGTATAGTGTTTGAAAACTTCATTCAAATCAGTTATGAAGACATCACTCAATGCCAGACCAGGTTCTTCTAATAGAATCCTATACTATCCAGACACGGCTTTAGTTATATCTGATAAGAATGAAGTTGCAGATATTCCCAGACAAGATGCCTGTGGCCTCTCATGTCAGAGATGAATCCCACAAATCGGAATGTGCTCTTAAGTGTGCAAAAGGATTGTTTTCAGAAGAGAAGAAAATGCTTATTTTCATAAATATCCCTCTAATTACTTTTATGATACTGGAAATGCTTTTTAAACTTTTTTAATTGTTGATATATGAGTCCTTTCATTTTATTATCTCCACCGCAGCTAGTTGCCATGGAATGCTGATTTCCTATCAAGTATCTTCATTGAAAATAGAAAGCATTCTTATCCAGTCTCGCTTGAAGCTTCATATACACCAAAGTAGTAAAAAAATTTGTGTCAACCTTCTGACCAACGGTGCTGTGATTTCTTTATTTATCTGAAACCAAATTTTCTTTAAAGTTCAGAAAGATTATACTGTTACATTGTTAACATCAGAGGTCTAATTTAACACTTTCACAAGGTACATATATACAGACAAACAAATGTGAATTGTGTTTTTTAAAATATATTTATAGTAGGAAAGTAACTTAATGACTGATTACATAAGTCACCTAGGGCCGCCTTAATATAAGACAGTCAACGTGATCACATAAAACAACAGAAATGTATTCGCTTCTATTTCTGGAAGCCAGGAGTCTGAGACTAAGATGGCAGCAGGGCTGTGTTCCTTCCAACAGCTCTAGGAAGAATCCTCCTTGCTTCTTCCAGCTTTTGGTGGCAACTAGCAATCCTTGGTATTCCTTGGCTTGTAGATGTGTCATTTCAATCTCTGCATCTATCTTCATATTTCCTCTCCCTGTGTCCTCTCCTTTTCTCTTCACTTCTAAGGACTCTTGTCATTGGATTTAGGGCCCACTCTCATCCAGGATGATCTCATCTCAAGCGCTCTAACTTAATTACATCTTCAAAGACCCTTTTTCTAAATGCAGCCACATTCACAGCTTTCAGCTGGCTATTTCTTTGTGGGGACACCATTCAACCCACCATTCTTGGGGGGCACATTGATGCATTGTTTCCAACCTTTAGATTTATAGTTTATATAATTATTTTACTTATTTTATTCTGTAGTTGACCAGGAATCTAATTTTTCTAGATGGTGAATAATTGAGTGAAATTAGAAAGCATATTTTTAAGTCCAGGAATGCATTTTGGAGTCACTGGAATTATTTTTCAATGAAGTGAGGTATATAACAAAAATAAAAATTTAAAATATAGGGCGCCTGGGTGGCTCAGTTGGTTAAGCGACTGCCTTCGGCTCAGGTCATGATCCTGGAGTCCCTGGATCGAGTCCCGCATCGGGCTCCCTGCTCAGCAGGGAGTCTGCTTCTCCCTCTGACCCTCCCCCCATCTCATGTGCTTTCTCTCTCATTCTCTCTGTCTCTCAAATAAATAAATAAAATAAAATCTTTAAAAAAAAAATTTAAAATATAAAGAAAAAGTTAACTATAATGGCAACTTTGGGAGACAGTAGGGCTGAGTGGGGAACACAGACAATAAATTACTAATATCAGCTAAGACCTATTTTTTTAACCCGTTTCAAATATTGAATGAAAATTGTAATATTTCCTAAATTGTATGAAAAAAAATTTTTCTTTCTTTTATTTTATTATGTTATGTTAGTCACCATACAGTACTTCATTAGTTTTTTGTTTTGTTTTGTTTTAATTTTATTTTATTATGTTATGTTAGTCATCATACATTACATCATTAGTTTTTTTATTGTGTTATGTTAATCACCATACATTACACCATTAATTTTTGATGTAGTGTCCATGATTCATTGTTTGCATATAACACCCCCAGTGAAAGATTTTTGACAAGCCATTGGTTGGCTTAGCGATCACCATTCTTGAAAAAGATACTAAATAAGCACAGAAATAATTTTAGAGTGAAAAACTTAAGAACTCTTCATAAAACAAACAAGATTATATTTAGACACTTTTAAACAAGAGTCTATAACTACATATAAGACAATTCAAGTTCGTAACATAAAAACTATACCAGCATCAAGCACGCTTCTAATAGAATTATCATTAAAAGATGACTGTTACCCAAACTGTAATTGGCCTTATCCATTTGCTGCTGTGTTAAGTTTCTTGGTGTCCCAGAACTTTGCACTCCTGCAGGTACATACCCTGAAAAGAGATAGGTGATGATCAGAAGAATACATATTAGTATTCTTCTGACTCCTAGGTAAAGTCACACTTTTTTCACATTCTTCAGGCCATTTTTTGGATTGCGGTTGCCAATAAAAACATAAGTTATGACAGGCAATAAGTCTCAGGACAGTTTGCCCCAGGATGAACTTTTGACTTGAACTTCCTACCTGTTTGGCATACCCCTGCTTTAGATCCAGAGTGTCTGTCACCACCCTCCTGTCTTTATATTCTAGTCACAGTATTTCTTATTCCTGGCTTATGTCCATTTACTTTACCTCAAATTGTGAAAGAAATGGTTTTTACCATCCATTACAGGCTTTTCGGGCACCAGTGAGTAGGTCAAGAAACGCTAAGTGAAGTAAGTCAAGCAGAGAAAGACGATTACCATATGGTTTCACTTACTTGTGGAACATCAGAAATAGCATGGAGCACATTCGGAGAAGGAAGGGAAAAATGAAGGGGGGAGATCGGAGGGAGAGATGAACCATGAGAGACGATGGACTCTGAGAAACAAACTGAGGATTCTAGAGGGGAGGGGGTGGGGGAATGGGTTAGCCCAGTGACGGGTATTAAGGAGGGCACGTATTGCAATGAGCACTGGGTGTTATATGCAAACAATGAATCATGGATCACTACAAAAATTAGTAATGTACTGTATGGGGACTAAGATAACATAAAAAATTTTAATTTAATTAAAAAAATAAAGTTTAGTAGTGATGTGTTCATTGAGTGTTGGTATGGAACAAAAAAGAATTTTCCTAAACATTGTTGAAATCATATCATATAGACAATGGTCTATTAAGCTCAAATTTTGTAAGGCAAACTCTAAGTAGGAATTGCTAATAAACATTTTTTTTTTTGAGCAGCAACTCCTGGCAAAGTACTCACGAAGCATAGAAACATCGTAATAAACAATGCCCTCTTCTCTCCAAGAGCTTAAGGTCCAGGCAAGGAAGCAGCTATTTATACGATTAGAAGGTAAAGTTTTCAGAGTGATGATAGAAGTAAACATAATGTCCAGAAGTTAAAAAGAAAAAATGTTTAATTCTAAGAGAGCAAGGGTAAAAGATTAGGGAAGATTCTCTACAACAGGTGATATTTGGGCTGGATTTCAGTAGATGAGTTCTGCAGGGAGACAGAAGGAAATCTTTTTGCACACAGAAAGAAAGTCATTTAGAAGATAGAAAGCTACATGGGACTTTCAAAGAATTACAAATAGTTCAGTGCTGCCATTAAGTGTGAAACGACAGATGTGTGATTAGAATTGAGGCTGGATATTGGCAGGTTCTCACTGTGGAAGGCACAAAACTCCTAGAAAGTGTTCACAAGGAAATGATACACTTCTGGTGTGGGTGTACCTGACTGGCAAAGAGAAACATTTTAGGGTAAGATTTAGTGCACAGTATTTTTCCGGAGAAATTTTGAACCCACTGCTCCTCTGAGCTACCATTTTCTTTAATAAAACATTGTTTTTAAAATAACAATTTTGGGGCATTTGCACAAAGGACAAATTTTGGGTAACTAGCATATGTTATTTATTTCAGCCTCCCCATAGTGACAAGTATTTTAACGTCATTTTACTGATAAAGAAATGTAGACTCATGGTGATGAAGCAATTTGTCCAAGGCTGCCCAGCTTGTAAGCTGCTCTAATTGCCCAATTATTCTTGTGCAAGTAGGTCCTACTACACTGAATAGAAACCAAGGGTTGGATCGTAAGAAATACACTACCCAAATTAATCTAAATTAAGAGAGTCAAAGAAGCAAGTCCAAGCCATGTTTTTGGGGAAACACTGAGAGACCAAGGTCTGAAAGAGTACATCAAATGGCAAGAAAATAGAATCAGGATTATAATGGCATATGGACACATGCATTATGAATTCTGGATCTGAATAGGAATAGGAATAGTTAAGCTAAGGAGGAGGGTTGGAGACAATTGCCGAAATTCGTGGGCCAAACTCATCACTCCCTCGCTATATTGTAAGCTCCATGAAGGCAGGGATTTTCATCTATGTTTCTCATTCCACATCCTCAGTGTTTAGAAGAGTGGTTTGCACAGCTCCCTGATAGGCATGCCGATATAATGCTGTTGGGAATGTAGAATGTTTGGCAATATATAGCAAAATTACATATGCATTCCTCTTCTGACCCAGCAATACCAATTCTCAGAATCTATCCTAAAGATACACGCAAGAGTACGAAAAGAATACATGAACAGGACTATTCACCACAACATTGTAATAGAAAGAATTTTAGAAATAACCCAATGGCCACTCATAGGGAATTAGTTTTCTAAACTATGGTACATCCACCAAATGAAATATAATGAAACTCTTAAAAGGAATGAGGGATAGTTCTATAAACTATTATGAAGGGATCTCCAAGATATATTGTTAAGTAGAAAAAGCAGGATATACAAAATTGTATATAGTACACTACTGTTCATCTAAGCTATGATGGGAAGGGTGTGTGTGTGTGTGTGTGTGTGTGTGTGTGTGTGTGTGTGTGTGTTCTTTCTTTCCTAGCTTATAATTTCAAAACTAAATCGATGAAATAGGAACCGGTATAGAAATGATATGTCTCCGATTTTATAGATTTGACTTTGGAACTATGTAACCACTTTCCATAATTATAAAGCATAACCAAATTACTTGTAAACACTAAAATTACGAAGCAAAGTGAAACAAATGAACCTAACTGCACGTAGAATTTGTTGCATAACCACGTATAGAGCAGTTATTCCAACTGACTTTCAAAACGCAGCAATTTGACTGTATGGCTCTAGTGGAATATAACTTAATGACAAAAATAATTGTAAAAAATTCTTTACCTATTTTCAATAATTATATTGTCAGTGGTAGTGGAAACTACACTGGAAAACTCCTGGCCTTTTTTTTTTTTTTAAGTCAAACATGTGCCCACCATACAACCTGACCCTCCCAATCCTCGGTATTTACTCAAGAGAAATGAAAACATATGTCCATGCAAAGACTTGTGCATGAATGCTCACAGCAGCTTCATTCACAACAGCCAAAAGCTGGACACAACCTGAATATCAATTAACAGATACATGGATCTGTATCACGCGTATAATGGATTACTACTCAGCAACAAAAGGAACGCACAACAACCTTGATGATTCTCAAACTCATTCTGTTGCGTGAAACAAGCAAACACAAAGAGCATACACTATACACTACACAAAAAGAATGCTATAAGATCAAATGTTAGCTCATCTGTCTGTGGTGCCAAACAGCAGATCAGTGGTTGCCTACAGATAGGGACAAAGGCAAGGATGAACTGCAAATATACCTGGAGGAATACTTGGGGAATAATGGAAATGTTCTGTATCTTGTTTGTGATGATTCACAGGAATATGCCAAAACTCATCAAACTGTACCCTTTAAATGGATGCAGTCAATGGTACCTAAATTGCCCCTCAATTAAATTAAATACAGTATCAGAAACATCAGATTTTAACACACGTAACATTAGAACACGCATCCACACAAATAAACACAAAACAAAACACAAATGGAAAAACGCTTGACCCTGAAAATAATGTTTAAAAAAAAAACTTTTCCATCTAAGTCAAAAGCATCAGCAGAAGTAAGATTGCTTTGTGATTTTAGTACAAATGAAACCTCTTACTCACTTTGAGCACCAGAAGTTTCCTTTCCCAAATTGTCATTGTCATAAGCCTGAGCCAGCATACACCACCCACACAACAGACATTGTATGGGCATGACTGTGCAAAGCCATACTCCAAAGGCTTCCTCCAGTGGGGGGGAGGCTCTCAGAAAGAGCACATGGTTTTTTTGTGAGGTTAAACAGTTTTTATCTATTCTAAAATCCTGTGGTCTGCTGTGCTGTCCTGACTAAAAAAGTGAGAGATAGGCATTGTTGATATTTCACCACTCCCAATAAAAACCCCGGGTCAAGTAACTGCTAGTAACCTAATTAGAATGTGGATTATGCCATCCTCCAATAGTTACTGGGGTTGCTAAGATTCATGTATTATTTCCAGTGTGTGGCGATGGGAAACGAAAAAGTTAAAGATTTCTTGCCCTTTCATTCCTTTGCAGTTTCTTTGAGGAGAATGCAAACAAAGCAGTAAGGACGCTAATACAATGACTTTTAAGCTAAAATAATGCTTAACTGGGGGCAAAACTGGAGCCTAAAGTATTTGCTATGCTCTAATAAGATGCCCATATATCTGCAAAAGAGAATCATGTGGTATAGTTCCATTTATAGTACATTTCTTTTGACATTTCTTTACAGAACTTGGGGCCTCTAAGCTAATAACTAACTAGAAGTCATTCTTATTGCTTATTATGGTCTTTCCATCTTCACTTGTCATCTTTATTGTTACTTAACATTGAATGAATTTACCACTTTGAAAAAAACAGAATACAGAATACATTGAAATAACATTTCAGTACATTGAGATCTATGGAAATATCCTAATGTTTTTCATAAGGAAAACCAAGTAATAGAATTATTTCATTCTACATTTGAGGTTTCAAGCTTTCAAGCTTCAAAACTCCACAAGTTATTATAACAAATATAGTGCTGGACAATTGTGGATTAGCAATGGCTGCAAAATATGAGAGATACGGGTTTTACTTCTCACTCTGCTTCTTTTCTGAATCATTTTAGATAATTAAATGAATCCATACGCTCTAGGTTTCCCCTCTGCAAAACATAGACTCTCGTGCTTAAATTAATTAATGAGGAATAACTCATGAAAGGTATTCGAAGCACATTACAGACTGAGGTATTAAACCCAGTTATAAAGAAGCAGTACACCTCACTTAAAGATTCAAGGTTTCATTTAAAATAAATGCAACTTTGAGGCTGAGATCTTAATCACACAAAGACCTGGAAACTCAAATTACACTGCTAGAACAACCTTTATTTAGCTACACTAAGCACATAACTTTTTCTAATCAACAGTATGGTAAAGTCAATACAGTA